CAGAGATTTCCAGTCATGTTAATTCAGTAATATATAATATTAAAAGAAGAGTGAGGTCAGCTCTTTTCTTTATCACTCACATTATACAAAAAACTTTCTCTAAGTGCAAACACTGTGAATTATTGCGTAGGTGACAGAGGTATGCACTCGTTCACATTCTGCAGGAAAATTGTAAATTTGTATTCCAACTGTATGACTGAGATTGGCAAATATTTTGCAAACAAATAACATTTATGCAGGAAAAATAGAAAAAGTTGGTGTTGGTATATGATGAATCCAGAAAATTAATTTATGTGGCAAATACTGACCCACATTAACTGAGACTAAACGTGTAGTACCGTAGAAGATCACTACTCTTACTCCAGACTGTGCAGTAAGAACTGTTGCTATGAACAAAAGCAGCATAACAATATTTCTTTGTAAAAAATACTTAAAATGTGTTTAACAGATAGTAGTTATGAAAACCCAAAAGAGATTTTTGCCCATATTATACTGTACTGTATGTGTGTTAACCACTGAATGATATCCTGTGTTCATAATTCTACTACAACTTGGCCAGTTACTGTGTCATGAGTTAACGTGCAATGCGGAATTATATTTTTGTGGCGATTAATTTGTGATTTACAACAGACTGATTGTTCTATAGTCATCTAGAAGTATTTTTAAAGCCTAATGTTGAGACTAATTTACCACATGTTTAATTCCCTCATTGTTTGAGATGAGGATGTTCTCCACTGTCCAGTGATAATACATGAGAAAACCAGAATACCTGGAGAAAACCTGCACTCTTTAGTGGTGTTACACTGAACCTGAGAAGTAGTGGTGAGGCATTTTTATATCTGCAATTCAAGTAATTTTTCTGTGAGCATTTAATTAAACCAACCGGTACTGTACTGTACTAGTGTTACCATAACAAGAACAGCACAAGAAGCTCCTGCAGGGCTTTAAACAGAAGAGGGAGGAGTCAAGGAGGAATAGGGATGGGTGTACATGGGTTATATTCAGGGGGAGGGTAGTGGAAGCAAGTGTGCCGACACAGAGCCAGGGGGCAGCAGCGCACCCTCCACCTGCTCTACCCCCCACCCGGGAGGTGGCACCAGCTCCACCTACCAGCCGGGAGGAGGCAAGCGCCGTGTAAACAATGATATTTCTAACCACACCCTGCAAAATACAGTGTATTTAGCAAATGCTGCAGCTTCTGAGAATGGAGGGGGGCTGTAGTTACTACTAAGAGCAGAGACGTTACCGAGAACAAATTCTGGTTTGAATGTCATGTACACTAATACTGATGCGTTCCTTGATAAGAGAGAGGAGTTTGCACACAATGCTGAATATCATAACTAGTAAGTGGCCCATTTGATCAATAAATATATACACAAGACCAAACCCAGTGCCTTTAGGAATACGAGGGGATCCCTACACATGAACAATGCGGCGGTCGACAAAGTTAAGAAGAAAACCCAGAAATTTAAGACGTGAGTTGGGTCAAACAATGAGCAGGACAGGAGGGTGTATGCAAGAGCCAGAAACCAAGCAAAGGCAGAGTGTAGAAGGACTGAAAAGGAGTTCCAGAGCCAGGTTGCAAGTGAGGTCAAGTCAAACCCAAAGGTGTTTTACGGCTATGCAAAGTCAAAATTAAAAACGCGAGTAGGATAATCAGACCTGAGGCTTGAAGACGGTAGTTATGCAGATTCTGATCAGCATAAAGCTGAGGCATTGAACAGCTTCTTTTCCTCAGTGTTCACAAGAAAGGATGCGATTAACCTTCCTGCGTTTGAGGACAGACAGTTCAACACAGCACTGACCCACATTGTGTTCACAGAAGAGGGTATTAGAAATAAACTGTCAAAGCTAAAGGTCCATAAGAGTCCCGGCCCTGACACGGTGCATGTTTGCCGAGCTCCTGAAGATCCTGTTCTGCAAATGCCTGGATGAACAAAAGGTCCCAGCGATTGGAAAATGGCTTATGCGAGTCCTATCTTCAAGAAGGGTGATCGTCAATCCACGAACAAATATAGACCGGTGAGCCTGACCAGCATAATATGTAAAGTACTTGAGAGTATTATCAGAGATGCCGCAATGGAACATCTACTACGAAACAACCTTGTAAAGGATTACCAACACGGTTTTATGCCGGGGCGCTCCTGCTTAACACAATTGCTCAAGGTATTGGATATTTGGACCCAAATTCTGGAACAGGGTGGTAATATCGACAATATATACCTAGATTTTGCCAAGGCTTCCAACAGTGTACCCCATGAAAGGCTGAAAATCAAATTGGAAGGGTGTGGAATTCGGGAAAATATCCTAGCATGGATAGAAAACTTTCTACATGACCGCAAGCAGTGCGCTGTGATTAATGGCACGAAATCATCATCCATACCTGTCACAAGCGGGGTACCACAGGGCACTGTATTGGGACCGCTGTTGTTTGTTTGTTTCATAAATGACATGCCTAACGTTGTACCCTCCTCCATACAAATGTTTGCCGATGATGCCAAGTTATTTCGGGAAATCAAGAACCATGCAGACTGTGAAGAGCTGCAGAAGGATCTCTGTAAGCTCCAAGAATGGTCGAAGAAATGGCTGCTGAGATTCAATGTCACGAAGTGTAAGAGGATGCACCTGGGGCGTACCAACAGTAAGGAGGCGTATCATGTGTCCCAACGGGATGAAGAAACTGCACTATTTGAAACTGAATGTGAGAAGGACGTAGGTGTGTATGTTGACAATGAGCTGAAGTTCTCGGGCCATTGCGAGAAGAAGGTAAATCAGGCAAATAAATTATTGGGTCTTATAAGAAGGTCGTTCAGATATCTAGACGGTCCTTCCCTCATAACGATCTTCAAGAGTGAAGTGCTTCCCCATCTGGAGTACTGTCACCCCGTCTGGTCCCCGAGATATGCTAGGGACTGTCAGTTGGTTGAAAATGTTCAAAGGAGGGCCACCAGACTGGTGCCTGCACTTTGGCACCTCAACTACCCTGAGAGATTGGAGCGCCTGAACTTGTCTAGCTTATACTACAAACGGGCAAGGGGCAACCTAATTGAGGTGTATATGCATCGCAAGGGGCACTACTCAGTCGAGTGTCCTTACTTGAAGCTGGCGGACGCTTGCCCCACAAGGGGTCACAGCTCAAGATTGAAGAAGCCGCAGGTCCAGAAAACTGTGAGGGCAAACTTTTTCGGAGTGAGAGTTGTGAACTCTTGGAACAATCTACCAGAAGGTGTTGTGACGGCACCGAGTGTGAGCTCTTTCAAGACCAGACTTGACCAACACTGGAGCAGGTTCAGGTACATTCAGGAGCCGGTGCATGTCCAGTACTTGCCAACAGTGCGTAACAGAAACGTGACCGATCGCCCAAGCTCCTAACGAGTCGATCAGTGGTGAAGAGGATAAAAGTAAAGGTTATGTTCAGTGTTTGGTCTCTTATTTGGTTTTATGATTTGAAGAAAATTTTGTGAATAACTGCTCATTCTAGAGTACAGTACTGTACTGAATTATCTTGAATTGCTGATTTAACACATGCTTGTAACAGTTTAGTAATAATCCCTGACATAAATATATGAAAATTTAAATGGTGATTGTGCATTTATACACCACACTAATGTCTTTATTGTACCTTGGGCCCAGTAGGTTTTGCTAATGGGACTGAGGTTTGCTTATCCCTAATTGGCTTATACCAACAGAGAAATTTCAGAGTAAAAGGAAGCCTTTTAAAATAATTTTAGACAGAATTGTGAACAAAAACTTATTTACATAGAGCAAAAATAAACCTAATTATAGAGCAAAAAAATAGAGCTAATTATATTTAATTTGTTTCAGAAAGTGACCTTTAAATCTATAGTGATGTTATTATCAAGTATGTCTCATAAACTGCATTTGTTATTAAGAAAGACATCATCAAATAGAATAATAATGGAAAGTTTTCCAAGCAACGATATGATTAACAGTGTTCAGGCTCTTAGGACTACTGTACTGTAGTGAGAAGTTTGGATGAAGGTTTTCTGATCATTTACATTCTGATCATTTACATATTAGTTGCCGGTACATTGTATTCATCATGATCAAGACTGGGAATGTCAACTGATTTCCGCAGGTTGCTGGGTTACATGTGTCGAGTTTTCTACCCTTCCATAAGACAGTGACTGTCAGGGAACCCATTCAATGTGTTCTTGGGTCGAAGACGAACCATTAAAGACACCAAAATTATGATACCCTTTTGAAGCACCGGATGTTTAAATATGCTCTTTCTTTTTTTATGCAGTGGCACTTGGGGAAAATATGGATCGAATAAAAACACATAACATAAAATGCATTGACATGTACAACACAACAACGGAATTTCTGAGAGAATCATAGGTATTCGTACTGCATAACACACAAATCTACAACATCAAAGTTTGTGTCAAATATTTGTACAAGCATCGGAATAATGTAACTTCAAGAAGTTATCTAAAAGTGTTATTCTGTCATGAAGCAAATTTAAAAAGTATTTTTGTATAAGAATAACTTATAATAAACATGTCTCACTAATTATATATTTATGTGTTAACTTTGACGTTTTACTTGATTCTTTATAAGTAATATTCGTGAAGTAGTGCCCCCAAATTCAAATGTTGGGTTAACACTTATTTCCATGCATTATCTGGGGATTGTGATTACTGTACAGTACTGTAATTTTCAATAATTTTCAAAAATAATTATGCAAACCTGTACTCGTAATTTTTTACATTCTGTTACTAAAATGTTCATTTTTAGGTCACCTTGTGCTTCTGGACATAAAACTACAGTATGTGAAAACATGCATAAAGTAAAATCTGAATTATTTACCTTACTTTCTGCTAAGGTTAAGAACACTTAATGGAAATTATTTTAAAAATAAATAAATATAGTGAAGTACCATATATATAGTAAGTACTGTACAATAAAAAATATACACCAATGCCATCATTATCTAGGACTGTTAAACAAGGAAGTTCATTATAAAAACCATAATGAAATTTTAAATCCTTATGTTTGTTTTATTTCTTAAACATATACTGTACATGATCTGTGCAATGGGCTTATATTATCTTGTTCCTGTGCCCTGATTTGTAAGACTTCAGAGAAACAGTAACCTGACAATATCAGTAGTTGTGTAAACCTAATAGAAATTGTTATTGTGCACTAGCTTGCCAAGAAATGAATAGGAAAGAACAGAGTAATTAAAAATATGACTTGGCAAACTAAAACTTCATATATCCATGATATATGATCATATCTTTAATACCTGAATGATATCAGTGAATATTCAAGACTGATTAACCTCAGTCTTTACTGACAACCAAAACTGTGGTAAAGGTATACCACACACACCAAGGTTTGTGGTAGAGAAAGTGTTTAATATACATAAAAAAAAATCACAAGACATGCCTGATACCCATTCAACTTATCAACAGCATTCTTTCTTGTTTTATGTAATAACTTTTATTTTATCTGCACCTTCTGATAAATGTCTGCACCACAAACTCAGGCTTTAGGATGTCTCTTTTTCTATTTCACTGAACTTTGCATAAAGTTCTGAGTTGTGATTCTTCCTTGTAGAATATAACTTGTCCACTAAGTACTGCACTATAATTTCAAACACTGAAAGTTTGTGTACTGAATTGTAGTAATTCAACAGTCCAATTCTTCCAACACCTCACAGAGGATGAACATTATTACATATGACAGACTACAGTGAACACATCATTTCTTGATGACATTATAATGAAAATCATCCATCACTCCTCCAAACAGTCACTTATAATGAACACAACTTCTTGAACTCACTCTTCACCCATCTGGCCATGTGCCATCCTCTCAATTTGAACAGATATCTTAGTGTAAGGTGAATATCACACACATTGTTGGTATTATTCTAGCACCTAGGGTGATGTTTTGAACACTTAGGTGAAATTCTAATATAGTTATCTGTCATCCCCTCATTTAATTTTCATTTAAGCACTTAAGACTTATGAATTGTTCAATTTCAAAGAGCCATTCACATCTCAAATGAATCCGACTGGTAACAATCACTATTAATACCGGTACGTAATTGCATTTTGTATTACCAATATTTGAGGCAATTTTTGTTTCGTTTCTAACTATGTAAATAAAATTCTTTTCAGGTGAAAATAGTTCAGTCAGTGGTTGTTGCATTTTCTGTATTTGTTTCAGCATCACTACTATTGATGTTATTGTTGTTATTATTATTGTTGTTATTATTTGTTGGCATGTCATTGTTAACTGAACCCTCAGCCAACATTTGCCAATTATTTCTGTTGTCTAAGACCCCATCCAGCAGTGGCTTTAATTCTGGGGTCAAGTCAGCAAAGGCCTGATGATAAGAAACAGAGGAAACCTACTGTAGGTTACTGAGAGTAAGGAGACGGGGACAATGGCAATACATAAATCACTTCACTAAACTGTGGGTTGATAAATGAGATAAATGTTGATAATCATTGTATAACATCCACAAAAATACAATTGTACAGGTAATCCCCAAGTTATGAAGATCTGGTTTATGAAAATCTGAAGTTACTGAGAGAGATAAATCCAAAGTTACAAAATTATTTTCACTTTTTTTCGTAATTTATTTTCCAGCATTGTTAGACGCTGAGGTGCTGACACAAACATCTCAGGGCTTCCCTTACTGGACCTAGTCATTTTTATAAAGACAATTAAATTAAAAATAATGTATCTTGGCTTTTATCATGGTACAATAGTCTATGGAAAAATGTGATCTCATTTAGAAAAACCTGAGAGTATCAACTCGAGACATTCCATTGCTAAGGGCTAATGTTGCTCAACTAGAACTTAATGAAAGTGACTGGAGCACTGATATTGGTGATGATCCTTAAGATATTAAGTGAGTAACTTTCTTCAGTACAGTACTGTGTGTTACCATGGGAGACCCACCCAAGTAGTGCCTATGGGAAAGCCTCAACAAGACTAATCACAAATAGAAGTATGTACAAACAACAACAATACCTTACAGCTAAGAGTGAATGGCAGTGACAGCATTATCTTCAAGTGCTTGTACAATGGCAGCAGATAATGAACTAAGAGTGTCATGATGCTAGAGTTTGAGGAGGTAAGCTGCAAGATACATCATCCAATCATTGGCATCTCATTCAGTCACATGATAGTACAGTCAGTTCTGCTATAACGCGATAGTCGTGTTCTTGTAAAACATCGTGTTATAGAAATTCTCGTAATAGAAATATCAGGGCTTATGGAGAAAATAGGGTTAGGTGCAGATTACTACTCGAAATCGAAAAAAATTTAGTAGTTAGCCTAACACAAAGGATAGCACAGTCTAAATAAATGTTACATTCATATCTAATAATGAAATCATACAGTAAATGTAACACTTTACCTTGAAAAAATATGAATATAACTTGATGGGGGAGAAGGGTGATTTTGAGATAGATAACATCGAGCTTCTCTTCAAGAGTTATAGCCTTTCTTTTACGATCATTACTGGGAATGCGATCACCAGAACGCTTCTTGGAGATATTCTTCTTTACCATATTCACAGTTAATACCACAAAATTGGAGAAATAGTAAGCAAAAATCGAGTTACAGCAAACAAGCGTTCGCGTTATACAAATATCGTTCCTCTATTCATAAATCGCGTTAGAGCCAATTCGCGTTGTCAAAACACGCGTTATAGCAGAACTCACTGTAGTAGCCAATCGTAGCTTACGAGTACCCTGAGTCTACCCACCCACATGCCTTGCATGCATGCAATCTCTAGTAAATTCGTTCGAATATCCAGAATGGAGATATTTCTTTGGAATGCTAAATAAAAAAAAATAAATAAATAAAAAAATCCGGGTAATGGATTGTTCCAGGGATCAAAGATTCTGGCTAATGGAGAGATTACATGTAGTACATTATTTCACTTCTTATGTTTATTATTGACTTATAATCATTGTGTTCACTGAAAACTCATGAAAAACAAAATTTTGTATCATTTTAAGACAGATAAGGATAAAATTATTTCTTAGGAAAGTATTTAAGTTTTTATAATGGGAGTCCATAGGGAAATAAACTTCAATTTATGAGTTTTGATCTAAGAAAAAGGTTTTTCTGGAATGGAATCCTTCCATAAATTGAGATTACCTGTACAATACTGCTATCTAAAATATTGTAAAGCATTCCAATACTAGTGCAACAATACAGTGCAGTACATACCTCATACACTGGCAAACAGATAGAGTCAATAAAGAGAACTTGCATCATTGGCAGTTTGTCCTTCTTCTCCCGGTTCATCATATCCTGCAAAAAGTATTGGATTCTTGTTATTACACTTTTATGGAGAACAAGGAAACCTTTTCTTATATTTATACAATCCTGCTGTTATATTAATATTTATGATTATCAAATTTAAAGGGTTCTATAAAACTCCTTTCCTACATGAGAGGATTTATAATACTTGTACAATTACAACTTGTATAAATTGAAGATAGGAGATAGGAGTTTTATCTTCACTTGTAACTGCTCTTATGACATAGTACATCATGGGTCTCAAATGTTCTACAGATTTGAGACTGAATGTGAGAAGGACCTAGGTGTGTATGTTGACAATGAGCTGAAGTTCTCGGGCCATTGCAAGAAGTAGGTAAATAAGGCAAATAAATTATTGGGTCTTAAAAGAAGGTCGTTCAGATATCTAGACGGTCCGTCCCTCGTAATGATCTTCAAGAGTGAAGTGCTTCCCCATCTGGAGTACTGTCACCCCGGCTGGTCCCCGAGATATGCTAGGGACTGTCAGTCGGTTGAAAATGTTCAAAGGAGGGCCACCAGATTGGTGCCTACACTTCGGCACCTCAGCTACCCAGAGAGATTGGAGTGCCTGAACTTGCCTAGCTAATACTACAGATGGGCAAGGGGAGACCTAATTGAGGTGTATAAGCATCTCAAGGGGCACTACTCAGTCGAGTGTCCTTACTTGGAGCTGGCGGATGCTCGCCCCACAAGGGGTCACAGCTCAAGATTTTAAGAAGCCGCAGGTCCAGAAAACTGTGAGGGCAAATTTTTCGGAGTGAGAGTTGTGAACTCTTGGAACAATCTACCAGAAAGTGTTGTGACGGCACCGAGTGTGAGCTCTTTCAAGACCAGACTTGACCAACACTGGAGCAGGTTCAGGTACATTCAGGAGCCAGTGCATGCCCAGTACTTGCCAACAGTGCATAACAGAGACGTGACCGATCGTCCAAGCAGCTAACGAGCCGATCATTTGATGAAGAGGACAAAAGAAAAAGAAAAGTAACAGAGATATGACCGATCGCGCAAGCGGCTAATGAGTGGTGAAGAAGATAAAAGTAAAAAAGTAAAAGTAAAGGAAATTACAACTTAAGGGTGTTGGTGGTTCAGTACAGTATGCCCCCCAAGTTTGCGGAATTTTACTTTGTGGTTCTCGGTTATTCTTGGCGACTCGCGGCCATTTCGAGAACCTAACCCCCAAATTTGGGGGGCCCCCTGTACAGTGATAATGTGTGTATCTCTCAAAAAAAATGTGTCCTGGGTTCATTCCCTAGGTTGGGACAGATGTGAGAAGGGTGTTAACCAGTGTGACCATACCAAACATTGCAAATTTTCTTCAGGTACTCTGCTTTCCTCCTGTACTAACACTGGACAATGACGGTCATAATAAGGTAACAAAGAATAGACCAATCACCTGAATGGCTAGTAAATTCATAAGTGGCAAAATAATACATAATAATTATGACTAAAACCAAACAAGTAATGGTACCGTCTAACCATAAGACTGGCCGTTATATTGTAAATGGATAAAATCATGATTAATTGTTCTGTAACTTGAAGACAAGTAATCAAATTAAAATATATTAATAATTCTCTACCCAGGAAATGTTCATAACATAGGACAGTTGGTTCTCAAATTTCGAGAGTTTTAAATTCGACGTTTTTTATTTGGACACAAAAAAAGACTACGTACACAATTTCAAATTTCGACGGGTTTGAGCGGCCCGCCAACGATGAGACGTGCACAATCATGTAAACAGCGTCATTTCTCTTATGTACAAAAGATTCATTATTGTTTATTACTGTATGTCTTTTTGATTGAATTAATGTTTATGTGTGCAAAATGAGCAATACAATTCATTAATAATACATAGAATATTAAACCATACGAGGAGATGAGACGGCATTGTTTTCGTTAATGTTTACAAAACCAGTGACTGACTGGTTCTACATATAAAACTTAAGAAAATAAGACCCTGGTTGTAGCTGTAGTAAAATTAATGTAAAAAAATTAATATGGTTGTTTTAAGTAATGTTATTTAATGTTAATAAATGGAACAATAAAAGTAGCGACCCATTAATGGTAAAGGAAAGAGTGAAATCGCGTATGTAAGTGCGCACATGTGAAAACATATCGTCATTACTTTACATAAGAATATGAAAGCAACACTTATTTACTGTTCATATATATTTTAATTAATGTTTCTGAATTTAAAACAAAAATTCTACCCACCAGTGGTGGTGAAGTTGAAAGCATAAGGACAGCCAATGTTGTTGTGTGTGTTTTTACTCGGATGACGAAGTTGCCAAGTCATCAGGTTCAACTCTAGCTGAAGCTGTAGAACATAAAAACTTTTTCTGTTTTTAGTTTTTATTTAACTTTATCTGTGTTATTTTCGTTGGTTTATTAGGATGTTGCTTTATTATAGGTAGTAATTCACCCAAAAAGTAGGGTAAATAAAGCAAAATTTAGCCAAACATCAAAAGTACCAGACTCAAATAAACTTTCTCCATAGGAACTTGTATTTAATTTTGGACGATTTGAATTCCACGAGGTTTTTACAGTCTAAATAGGTGTCCAAATATGACAGCCAACTGTACACAGGAAAACTACAATTTATACAGTATCATCAAAGCAACTTACAATAGGAGTTATATTTAGCTCTTCTTTTTCTATGTCTCCCTGTTCAAAGAACTCTCCAGCAACAAGCTCAGCAACCTGAAAAATATAGGCAAATGCAATATACAGGTATGAGATCCCGTACACCCCCAATTTTTTTAAATCAATTTAATCAACTTTTTATCATTTTTACATTTTGTACTCATATTTATATAATTTCAAGGTCAACTAACTCATAATTATTTTATCCCTGCATCTCGTGCATATGGGAAAGAATGAAATATACCGAGAAAATAAATTAATGTTGCACAATTTATTGAAAACTTCATAATAAAAAAGTAAATACACAGTACAGTATGTATTTTTCACATGGCCTCACACCCCACAGTTTGGGAATCACTCCTCTAAGAGAATGTGATTGACGATACCAGACTCAAACTAAGACTCCCCTGTTCGACACACTGGCTCCCAGAATGAAATACAGCACAGGTACAAAGTTTCAAATCCAGAAATATTGAGACTCTGGAGTTTCTTTTTATTCTAACTATAATTTTCAAGCCATTTTAATGAACTGTTTTCTCTTAAAATTCTGTACTAACTAATTATGGAAGGCAGAAAAAATCTATAGAAGTGAGGATAAAGAATTAATTTAATAATAATTATTAGAGAAAAGAAATTACCAAATTCATTTCACAAGAGATGCTGATGAAAATGAAACATAGCTCCTGCCAGGTATTGTTTCTATCACATTTAGTGTTCATTTCCTCCACCTCTAATTAAAACCAAAATGATCATACTTTTATCGGGTGATTTCATTTAGTATAGAATTTATCCCCAGCCAACCGATAAATGTGAGAGTTTTAGAAATAGAAGAAACTAATCAGCAAAAATAATGTGTGAAAATTTCAGACAAATAAATGGAAGAGTACAACACACCTGTTTCTGGATCATCCATGGTTTAGTAATGGCAGCGATATCACATATAGTCATCATCATGCCACGAAGCTGTGCTCTGTTGTCCTCTCTCATAAAGTCGTACTGATTTCCTTTAACCATAGTAAAGAATCCACCACGTTTTCTACCAAGAAATGTAAATAGGCACAGTTGTACAAAAAATAAATTTAATAACATTTTCATGTGAACTAAAATATATGAATCAATATTGTAATAATACTGCCATAGATTGATTGAAAAATACTCATTATATGGGGACAATTAGTGAGTCTGGGAATAATGAAAACTGATGATTATATCTTCACAGGGAAGTATGTTGTCCTAAAATTATCATCTTATGGAGGATACAGTGCTGAAATATTAAACCATGTTACCTGAAATACACAGCCAAATCAGTAGCAAGGATTGCATCCTCCAGGACACTAATTACCCTTGAATATTCATCAGGAGTACAGTTACTAAGAATTTGGTTCCCTGCTGAATTGAGGATCATCACACTCTGGTCAAAGTGGTGATGTTCCATTGTTGATGTTGTATAAAGCTGGGCCAGAGGAGAGGATGCTCTGAAAGACACAATGTAATTATTAGAATGAATTAGAAATTAGACAGTAAATAATGTACAGTAAACCCCCATAACTCAGCACGGTACCTGATAACCATTACACTTTTGGGCAGTCAGCAATTTTGAGCTAAGTTGCTAAGTTAGCAGGAGCCCAGAGTCACACACGAGAACTCGGCAAGCCAGCCCACACTTGAGCTTCAGTTGGCAGCCTGTGAGCATCAGTTTACATGTGCCTCTCATCACAGGTAGACCTTCTGACAGTGATCAAGTGTCTGTGAAATGTTACTGTACAAATGGTGTTAAGTATTATGTATGAAGTGTAGTCTTAGGTTTTTTAGAACAATTATATACAGTACCTGTGAAGTGTATGTTATGTATAAAGTGTACAGTACCATACATACTGTAAAGTAGTGTTATGTTTGTAGGATTAACAATGCTCATGAAATGTTGCACACAGTACAATATACAGTACAGTTCATCTGCCTCTTACAAGCTAATCAAGAACTTGACCCTTGCTGTTGGGAAGAACCTAATATAACTGTCTATTTCATTAAATATATATATTGCACTGTATAATATACTCATTACTGATAAGTCAGCAAACTCCACTAATCAGCAAGGCCTCAGCCCTATATGTGGCAAGTTATTGTAGTTTTACTATACTGTACAGTAATTACAAATACAGTAAATTTAAATTCTATTAAAATGTAACAAAAATGGCAGTGCAATCCGGTCCTGTCTGTGCGACTGAGCAGCCCTTTCGAGGAGCCACTCTCCTCACCCCACACAGGGAGGGGGCTAGATAAGGTGCCCTAAACATAGCCTGCTTAAAAAACCAACCTGACTGGTCAACCGCATCCAGTAAGGTCATCCTTATATGGTCGAAAACACAATCAAAATCACAGATCCAAACAAAAACAAACTATACAACCTCTTATAGTCGCTGCATGGAATGTCAGGACCCTTCGGGATACTAGCACAAATGTGTATCTTGAAAGAAGAACTATCCTTGTGGCAAAAGAGCTGGCTAGGTATAACATCGACATAGCAGCCATTAGTGAGTCCCAGCTCCTAGACGAGAGTCAACTCACAGAACAGGGGTCTGGCTATACCTCCTTCTGGAAGGGTATACTTGCTGAAGAGAGAAACCACACTTATGGAGTTGGCATTGCCATCCGCCAACGCATCCTACACAGGCTAACTAAAATGCCTATTGGGATCAACGAGCGCCTCATGACGCTCCGAGTACCACTGGATCACTCAGGTCATGCCTTCTTTATCAGTGCATACGCCCCAACACTGGATGCAGAGGATGACATCAAGGAGGCCTTTTATGCCGACCTTGACAGAATGCTGACCTCTATGCCAAGAGAAGAAAAGGCTGTGCTCCTTGGTGACTTCAATACCAGAGTTGGCAAAGATATGCTAGCATTTGGCAGGGAACCATAGGGGGAAATGGGAAATGGACTAGGCAAGTGTAATCCCAACAGCCTACTCCTCCTCAGCAAGTGTGCTGCACACAACCTCACTATCACCAATACCTTGTTTATGCAGGCAGACAAGTTCAAGGGTTCGTGGCAACATCCATGATCCAAACACTGGCATCTCATTGACTACATCATTGTCAGAGAAAGAGATCGCCGAGATGTCCTCATCACCCGTGCCATGCGTGGCTCAGACCACTGTAACACTGATTATCTGCTCATCAGATCCAAGCTCTCCCTTCACGTCGCCCCAAAACAGCGAAGACAGAAAGCTTCCAGAAGAGGTTTTCACACTAAGTGTCTAGAGGACGCTTTCAGAGAGCAGCTAGAACCTGGGATGATAAACAACCCAACAAATAACACCCAAATCCCAGTGCCTCATGGGATATTCTCAATACTGTCATGACAAAAACCTGCCAAGAGACCCTCAGCCAGATCAAAAGAACACACCGGGGCTGGTTTGATGAAAATGACCCGGCAATCAACGTACTCGTCGATGATAAACAAGCTGCTTTAACTGACTGGCAGAACAACCTTCAGTCTCAGACCAAAGCTGATACCTTCCGCTAAAAGAAAGCGGTGGCCCAGCGGGAACTTTGCAATCTAAAGAACAACTGGTTTAAAAATAAAGCATGTGAAGCACCAAATTTTGCAGATCAGCACAAGATGCATGAATTTTTCAATTTCACTAAAACATTTTAAGGGCCAATCACTCATGGTGCAACTCCTCTCCGCTCAACCAACGGTAACTCCATAATTAAGGATGACAAAAGCCTCCTTCAGTGCTGGAAAGAGCACTGCCATTCACTGCTCAACCGAAACACCGATGTGGATGTCCTGACAAACCAGCAGGTCCCTCAGCATCCAGTGCTGACCCACCTCAGCTATCTTCCATCCCTGGATGAGGTAGCTACTGCTATCAAACAGATGAAAAATAACAAAGCCTCAGGGCCTGATGGAATCCCAGCCGAGGTGTATAAAGCAGGAGGACATCTGCTTACCAGCCGTCTCCACTCTCTCCTGGAGAATATATGGAAAAAGGAGGAAATCCCCCAAGCTCTTAAAGAAACCTCCATTGTCAATATTTATAAGAACAAGGGAGACCAGTCAGTCTGTGGAAACTACTGCGGGATCTCGCTGCTGTCCGTAGCTGGCAAGATTATCGCACGAGTCCTCCTAGACAGACTTCTTCCTGAGGCGGAAAACTTCCTCCCTAAATCTCAATGTGGCTTTAGACCATCACATATCACCACTGACATGATCTTTGCTGCCCACCAGATACAAGAAAGGTACAGAAAACAGCGTCGTGACCTGTACATGGCTTTCATCGACCTAACCAAGGCCTCCGACTCAGTCAACAGGGAAGCCCTCTAGTGGACCCTCAGCCGTTTTGGCTGCCCAACAAAATTCATCGCCATTGTGAGGCAATTCCACGATGGCATGAGCGGCAGTGGCCTGCACACTGGCACCCAGTCAGAGTTCTTTCCCATCAAAACGGGGGTTAAACAAGGGTGTGTACTGGCACCAACTCTCTTTCCCATTTTCTTGGCTGCCTTCCTTACTCGTGCCAGTGCCAATTTAGCAGGCAGGGTGGACATTGAGTACTCGGTGATGGGGCATCTTTTCAACATAAGACGACTCCAAGTAAGAACAAAGCTGTCGGCAGCTTCCATTACCGAACTTCAGTATGCAAACGACCTCACCCTTGTCGCTCACACTTAACGTGACCTCCAGGAGTTCCTGAAAATCTACACAGATGCGTATGCACACTTCGGCCTTGAGGTGAATGTACACAAGACTCAGATTCTCTGTCAACCTGCCCCTGGTTCAGACACACCTCCACCATCCATCCAGCTTAACACTACTACCCTCACTAATGTTACCCACTTTCGGTAACTCAGCTCCCACCTGTCCACCACAGTGGACATCGATGGAGAGATTCAGCATCGGATCAGATGTGCATCTCAAGTCTTTGGCAGACTCCGAAACCATGTCTTCAGCTGTAGGGAGCTGAAATTAGTGATATCCCCGTTGGTCGGAACAATTGGTGCAGAGCACTTTCGGGAATGAGAGATTTCTGGGTAACGCGACGACTCTCTCAAAGCCGGAAGAAATCCCTTATCCCCAGAATTTTCCAGGTAAATGAAAAATTTTCTCGGAATTTCCAAAAAATTCAACTGATTTTCATCTCTCAAATCCAGAAAAAAACTCCCCCATCTCCGGAATTTTCCGGGTGTCGAAAAAATTTTCTTGGAATTTTCCAGAAAATGTGCCCCTTGGAAAATTCAGGCTTTGCGAGTGATTTTCCAAGAATATTTCAATTCCGGCTATCGGAGAGTTCCGAGTTTGAGGGATTCCAGCTAATGGAGATATTCTGTATCTATAAAGTTGCATGTATATCAAGCAGTGGTCCTCCCCACCTTGCTATATGGCAGCAAGACATGGGTCACATACAGGAGGCACATCATGGCACTTGAAAACTTTCACCAACATAGTCTACATTTCATCCTCCAAGTTAGCTGGGAAGACAAGAGAACAAATGCCAGTATTCTTGTCGACACCAACTGTCGGAGCATTGAGGCTACCATTATCCCTGAACAGCTACGCTGGATTGGCCATGTTACCCGCATGGACGACAGTAGACTGCCAAAGCAGCTACTTTACAGCCACCTAGCGAATAGTAAACGTAACGCCGGTGGACAACTGAAAAGGTTTAAGGATAGTCTTAAGACAAACCTGAAAAAATGCCAAATCGACCCCCTCACTTGGGAGACGATTACCCCACATCGTAATGCTTGGAGGAGCACCACAGGAGAAGGTATCAATACTTTCAAGTTAGCCCGACTGCATAACGAGGCAGACAAGCGCCACTTCCGGAAAGACGCTGCCGCCGCCCCTCCCGCACTCGATGTAGCCCCCCACATGTGCAACACCTGTGAACAGCTCTGCCGGTCCCGTATCGGCCTCTTTAGTCAGCTTAGAACTCACCAACCTAGGTGACATCCTTAATAACTCATATCATTGTATCATAGCTGGAGGATCGTTATACTGTACTCGATTCTGAGGGACAGCAAAGTAGTAGTAGCTATGAAACCACATAATGTTTAGGAAGGTTCTGCTGAATGAATAACCAATGAATGAGAATTCTTTTTATTGAGTGTAATGTTTTGAGGTATTAAAATTCATTGAACCAGCTTGTAGTGTCATCATTTGTGGAGCTGAGCTAGTCATCCTTTGTCACTGCCTAAGCAGGCAGCCAGGCTAATGCATTCATGGATATACTTTTTATACAGTGCTCTAAGGTTATGTTAGTGGTAGGCTGACCCAGCCTGGCTAGCAAGCTGGCCTCGGCAACTTGGTGCCATGTGTTTATTATTGTTTTCTCTGCCTCGTGGAATGTGGTTTCAGTTACTCGTAATTTTCATTATCAACTCTAGTAACAATGAGTCCAAAGACAGCTAACACTACATGCAGTGTCATTCTAAGGATGAAGAGGAAGATCATCACATTGGAGATGAAACTGGATGTATTGTACTGTACATGGTGACTGGACTCTGGTGAAAAAATGCATGATAGTGTAACTTCCTTCATCTTCAGTTGTGGTAAGTACAGTGCAGAACAAAATAATAAAACCATGTTTAATCTTGTTAAGTTAGGTTTTTAAGGTTGTAATTCTCTGGGTTGGGTCTTATGGGTAAATGGTTCCAGTTGAACGAGCATTCACCTAACGATCACCCTTTCAGGAATGTATATATACAGTGGTCCCTCGGTTAACGAACACAATTCGTTCCAGAAGGTAGTTCGTTAACCGAAAAATTCGTTAGTCGAAACTATTGTTTCAATGGGATTTTGGGTAATTGGTTCCAGCTCACCGAAAATTACATACAAACCAAAAATAAATGCAGTAAAGTACACTTACTTTGAGGTGTGCATGTAGAAGGCTCCTGGTTGATGATGATGATGATGGGAATTAGAATGGGGGTGAAGGAGAAGGGAGAAGAGAAGGCATTGGGGAGGAAGAGAAGTCACCCCATGCCGCCATTTCACCCATAAAATTTTAGTTCACTTGGTGTAATTCAAGATTATTTTCATTAAATCAACACTGCACTGCATTATATATTGTCAATATGTAAAATAAACTTCAGAATGACCAATAATTGTACTGTAAAAACGTAAAAATAGTTTATGTTCAATAGAGTCTCAAGCAAGATGCTTCCTACACTGAGCAGGGACACACACTGACGCCATTTTGGGTGAGTCAAGTGGCTGTTTGGCGCGCTAAAAACTAGTTCCCTGTACTTCAATTATGTTAAATAATTGTTAAAATGAATAAAAACTTTAATATAAGACTTGAAAAATTATTGAATAGTACAACCTTCTTGATATTTACTCAAATGGTAACGAATTAAGTCCTAAAACAGATTACTGTATTGGCGGACTAATACTACAGCTGGTGAGCAGGCGAAAACATGTTGGGAAAAATTTGTAAGGAATTCGTTAACCAAAATTTTTTCGTAAACCGAAGCGAAGAATCTTATGGAAGGTAATTCGTTAACCAAAATTTTGTTAACCGAGGCGTTTGTTAACCGAGGGATCACTGTAGTGCTGTAGCTTATTAAGCAGGCACTTACTGCATTATTCAACTTGAAATTACCGGGTACTAATTTTTCAATTTTATCAAATAAAAAATGCAAATACATACCTGTACCAACAATTGAAAGCATGATTCTTATTGGTCCTAATATATATTTCATACAAATCACCATAAACTGCCAGGACAAAAATTTTCCTCACTTGATCTGGAAGGAGTTGTTTGTGCCACGATGGTCCAAGTCATGACAGAGGCAAGCTACCAGGAGGGCCAGACATTCCAGTTCACCTAGGACCTTCCACCACTGTGTAGTCTGCAAAGTATTATGAGTTACTTTTAAGTGAAAAACGTTAATAACTGTTTACAAAGAAGGAATACCATAGTAATTAGAATACTACTTAAAATGTAGCTAAAATTTAGAATTAAGTTCACCTCTTATGATATACTAATATTTGTTACACCTACGATGTTCTTATGCTATATGACTTATGTCCTCTCTTGCATTGTAATTCTGTTAAATAAATCATTATCTCTCAAAAGTATAAATTTTGAGAGATAACATTTCACACTTTTCACTTGTTTATTGTGAAGACGAAGAATGTTTTGTGTACGGCTGCTAGGGAAAAGACAGTTGTTGAAGGAACTAAATAGATTTATTAACCCCACAAGATATTACTGTACTGTATTATCATTGCTGGAACAAGAGGGTAACAAACAAGGAGAATTATAGGCTATGGTAATTAATATTTTTCATTTTTGACCACAAGACATGGATTTCACCCTTGAAAGTTCACAAATACTAAATACTGTATTGGAGGTCGTAAATAGGAGTTAGTATACATTTACTAACAGGCAAATATGCAAAATTTGTGAATCTAGAAACCATGAATATATCGAGAGTCAAGTGTATGTGTGTGTACCTGTATATAATGAGCTTCCAAAATATTATCTTTTCTTATACAGGTACTTACTGTGATAATGGCAAACATCATCTGGGCAACATTGAAGGCGTGCCGCCAGTTGTGGTAAGTTACATTACGGTAGTTTTTCTTGACACTTAACAACCACCGGCACAGCACCTCGTACTCTATGTGGAATCTTCCGATTAAATCAAGGTCCAGGAACATCCTCAGGCATGCCTAGAAACAATTAATAAATATGGTCATTAGTTTTATAAACAACTTATTTGCGACAGGATCAAAACTAATATTGTCTTGAGAGACTTAAGTAAATCTGTAATACAGGTAATTATGAACTATGATCCTATTATATAATAAAGTCATACTTGGGGTTATGACAAACCTGTGAAGTATTAAAATGGACCAGGAACTGAGTCAGGTCCAGTCCAGTAGTTTATTATAACAGGTCAGCAATATACAGTACATATACAGTACAGTATATATATATATATACAGTATATATATATATATATATATATATATATATATATATATATATATATATATATATATATATATATATATATATATATATATATATATATATATATATATATATATATATATATATATATATAGTCCAGTAAGACTTAGTTTCAGTTGTTCAGGGTCTAGTAATATGAAGTTGTAGTGCATAGATAAAAAGAGAAATCAATAAAAAGGCAAACTGAACAATAGATACACATAATATGGAAGATGGTCAAAGAAACACACAAAACTAGAGAAAGACTGACATACAGATAGAGAAACTGATGGAAATAGACCTGAGAAAAAATTTACCTTTAAGCTCCCATCATCATCAAGGCTGAAGTCATCAAACTTAAAGTCATATAATTTGAATGCTTGTGCAGATGGTACTTTCAATTTCTGTGGAAAAAGTGAAGAAACAAATTACTCGCTAATCCTTTTCCAAGTACAGTACAGTACTGTATATCTCGTCTAAATAACAAACACCAAACACACTGAAAAAATAAATTATCATAATGGACTTTCATACAAATATCAAGTCTTACTACGTACGGTACAAGACATTTTAATTACCCAAAACCTATTATTTTCCTCATTAAGATTCTGAAACAAATTTAAGGAAAATAAAGAGATGATGAAATAATTTTTGCGACGTTGTCTAGATTAATATCAAGAGGACATAATAATTAAAAATATCTAACAAAAAGACTACAAATGAAGATGTTGCTATGAGAATTGACATTTTAAGACTGAATATGACAACAGAGAAATCCCAAATTTTTATGAAAAGAAACAATCAAAACTACTTTCTTCTCCACTTATAATCAAGTTCTTGTTCACAGGAACAATTTTATCCCCTTACTCACATTACATCAACTAAGCCTCACACATTAGTACAAGCAAGATATTAGAAAAAGTTAATAGTTTTTTCTGATGTTTTAATCATTTCATTCAAACTTGGTCCACAGGTAAGACACTATCTCCTACATGCTATTCCTATTGTTTTAAGATGATCATCCAGAACTTAACATTATTAAGTCTCTGTTTGGCTGTCACTAAAAATGTCTTCTTACATCATACAGTAATGAGTTTCCCACAGCTTCCAAAACTTCTTACCATTAGTCGGACAGCTTCATCTCTGGGCGCTGCAGCATGGTAGCTAAGAACTTCCAATGTTACCTTCTGTTTGGCCATTGCAGTAATTGCTTTTTCATACCTAAAAAATTAATATTCAGTAAACATGGATTGTACAGAACTGTATATGTACAATATTACAAATAACTGGAAATTACTCTCATGGTTAACAAAGAACATTGACATTTGTTCTAAATCTGCCTACAATATTAGATGTATTTTTTTTGTGCATTGTATGTGGTTGAAACACTTTGGTTACACTGCCATGTGCTTTAGAAATGATAGAATACTAAGCTGATGGTGCTCTGATATGGTTACCCCTCGTAATTTTTATACAATAAAACCTTTTCATATAGACCAATTTAAAATATTTAAAATGTTCATTACTCTTAGATAATTTGTCTAATATCCTGTAAAACTGGTATGAAAAAAGTCTGTAAGAAAAAAAAATTGCAAAAATGTACTCACATGTGTGTGTTGTGGATGCCCATACCACAGAAGATAGCAAAGGCTTCTAGGAAATTTTCATCATTTTTAGTGAAAGGAAGATTATCAAACTTATTGATGAGTTGTACAACACCCACAATCTTCCCTGCAGTGTTTCTTATTGGCATACAAAGAATAGACCGATGACAGAATCCTGTGAGCTCGTCCACCGAGGGATCAAATTTGGAATCTTGATATGCGTCTAAGATGCACACAGTCTGTTGAGCAAGAAAACATAACCATACATGGAAAGGAGTTTGGTGGTAAGGTAAAAACAATCAGGTCCTTCACCATTGTGTCTTGGGTCAAGTGTTTTAGTATTTGAACGATTGCTGGAAATAATCTTCTAGTTGTTTTTTATGATATTTATTTATTTATATATTATAAACAGCTAAAATAGCAACAAATTTCAGTTCTTTCTTTACTCTTAATCTTTTCACTAGGGGATGCCACTTTTAAAATTCTACTTGGGTAACACTTGACAATTTTATGCAGCACAGAAAGATCCGTGTACATAAAGAGTTAATAAACTATCATTGTCCTACAGTCAGAATTTACATTACTGAACAATCCTTCAGTCAGTAGTGGACACATAGGTTATCTTAATGTCAGAAGAAGAAACACTAGTTGTTCTACAGTCAGAAGAGATAACACTAGTTGTCTTGCTGTCAGTGAAAGACATATTACTTATCCTACAGTCAGAAAGAACAAAATTATTTTCCTATTCAGGTGATACATAGCAGAAGAGGAAACATCAGTTATCCTGCAGTCAAAGGAGAAAGCATTAGCTGCACTACTGACAAAAAATAAATTAAACTTGACTTCTCCCAAAGTTAGAGGAGGATATGATAGCTCGCCCTACAGGAAGAGAAGGACACATTAGTTCAGTCAGAGGTGTACACACCAGTTATCTTAAAAAGAGTCAGGAACAACAGATATATCAGTTGTCCAACAGTCAAAAGTGTACATGATGGCTGTCCTACAGTCAGAAGACAAAGTAAAATATACATCAGTGTGCTTCAGTCATTAAAGTGCACATCAGTTAACTTACAGTCAGATGATGCCACGGCAGTTGATCTACAATCAAAAGGGGATCTAAGGGTATCTGTCAGTAAAAATTACAGTGAAGTTCAGTACCTCTCCTGTTGTGGCCACGTGGCCGGTGATTCCAACGTTGATGGGGAATCGAGACTCAAAGGGACTAGTGCGGCTCTCCGCATCATCACCCTGCAGGTCCTTCACTTCCAGGTCAAATACCCGTGAGAAAGTTCCCTGAGATGCTTCATGTACCAGAAGAATCTGTCAATAAGAGGGATTTAGATACCAATATAAATCTCTGAATGCACCAAACACAATTTAAAAATTACTGTAAATGTATAAATGAACTCAAAGAGAAAAAAAATCACTGTCCACCTGTAAATGTAAACATCCAGGCATGTCAATCATATTTGACATACTTCACCATTCAGTCCAAGTGTAAGTGTTTTGTAGTTTGACCAAAATGACCCAAATAAACATAAAATAAATTTTTGGAAAAAAATAAAATGTGCCACATAGTTTAACAGTAAAAAATATAATAAATATGTAATTCACTCCAGTATCTGTGTTCTACATACAGTAATATGAGTTGTGACACACTATACAGCACATATTTAAAAATATTGCACTTATTATAAATCATGAAAAAAACTTCCCCAGTCAAATATATGATAAAATAAAACTGAATGGGATCCAGAGCTTAACAAGTAGAGCTAAAGTTTTGGAAACCACCTGTGCATCACATGGCCAAGTACACCTCAGTTTTCCTAAGTAACTGTGTGTAGGGTAAGCTGAACTTACCTGGTACACAAATACTTAGTGAATACTTTGAAATTTGGGCAAGAAACCCCACCATCCTACTGCATCTATATCTCAGACCAAGAGGAAGCGATCTGCTATACCAGCAATAAAAAAACACAAATTCAATATGAATTAAAGGCCACAGCAAGAGCAAGCCATATTGTGTGCAAGCAGTAGTTGACATAATTAAGTGAATCATATCCAGTTATGTTTGTTATACATATAATTTTCTTAAGTATGTATATCACTGTAGCAATTATGATTGAATAATGTTCATTGATAATTAAAGACCTAACCTAACCTAACCTAACCGCTCTCTCCGAGCTTACGAACACGTCATTGTTTGTTTTTTCTTGCATTATTGTTTTTTATCACTGCATTGTTTTACTTTCGTTAGTTCAAATGTGCATTGTCATTTCCATATCGTACGATATGTTTTCCCATGTGTGAAGGAACGCGTTTTGTCGGTGGCAATGCCGGGTTGCCAGTTACTGTCTGACGCTGCAAGAGTAAAGTCTTCAAAGAACCTGGTATATATTATTCAAACCTCTCACACAGGGAATTCTTAACATACCAGTACTGTACTGTACTTACTGTGAATCTGAAAACTAGTTTACCAACATGAATTATCTGATCAAACAACACACTGCTTACCTGAACCCGTTCACACTGCAAGAGGCTTTGTGTGTGTGTCATGATGCGGTACACCATCTGCTCTATTGTGCTCTGCTCCTCAAAGATGATCCGCGCTAGATCTAGAAGGACCTGTGGACAGTGGTATAATATGTGTTAGGATTCATAAAAGTGTTTGTATGCAAGTGTGTGAAAATTTGGAGAAAGATGCGTAAGTGTATGCAAAAATACGAGGAGATACAAAGTACAGTACAGAGTATTTCACTTTATCTTCTTCACCAGCTTACTAACTGGTCCAGCACAAACATTTAACTTTATCCTCTTACCTCAGTGCATACTGTACTGTACTTGAGAAAACTATTTATGCATCCATTCTGGTGAAGTATATTACTATGTAAAAATAAAATATAATTTAATAAATTTAAAGTACTATACTGTATATGAAGGAAAATCTTGAATGAACATTCAGCAAAACACTAAAGATGATTACTATACACTATAGTACAGGAGTAGTAATAGTTGTAATAATATTAATAGTAATAATAATAATAATAATAATAAACAGTATTCTAGCACATACAGTATTCATGGTCAAAACATATATTTTCGAAACTTCGGATTTTCGTAAAATTAACCTTTGCAAATTGGGGACTGCCTATACTGAACTCACAAGTGAAACTCAACAAATATAATATGTTATCTGAGTGATATACCTGATTCCGTTTGACCTCTAGCTGAGAACGTTCATAGAGCTGGGCATTTCTGAGGCCAATTCCACAGAACTGCAAGTAGGACTCAAACACCTTTTCATCTGTTGATGTGAAGACCTGACCCTGATGTTTATTGATCACCTGCAACATCAATAACATAAATGTCAAACAATGTTTATATGTTACCTGCAAGAGTAGAATCATACACATCTGTTCTGATGTTTATTAATCACTTGTAACATCAAAGGAAACAGAGGTACTATACAGTGCAGAACACTGTATAGACAGAAGATATGTACAGAATGATAAATCTGTCAATGAATTACAAAGGCAAGAATTGTTATTTCACAAAAAAGACTTGAAAAATGAAAAATCAATGTTACTATCCTATGGTTGGTACATAATACCTGTACAGGTACACCAGCACCCTGCGACGGCATTTCTGTCCAGCTAACTCTGACGAGGCAATTATGATCAACAAACAGTCTAGCTGTGGCTACACAGGACTGTATTAGCCAACAGGTGCATTTCTGGTCATTAGATTGTCTACTGAGGATTATCAGGTGGAGCATTATTGTCTAACAGAGCGCCAGGAGGGGGGCAGGAAATATTGTATAGCAGAATGGTGAAAACATTTCTACCAAATAGACGCTGCTGTCCAATAGATTCAGGTGGAAATAATTCTGTCAAACAGGCTGCAAAAAGGTGCACTTCTGAATAATAAACTTTAGTTTCTACATTCTCACTACACAACTGCATCATATGCTCCTAGGTTGTACAACGATGTTTCATTAACCTTGTAATGATCTTACCTGTTCCTGCTAACATTCATACCTAAGCCAGTTAACACATTACTGTAATGTATATATGTCAAGTGTTAATAACATTTACTGACAAGAAGAATCACTGCCTGTACTGTACCTGGGCAACGCCAATGACTTCTCCAGCACTGTCCTTGATAGGCATACACAGCATGGAGCGTGTCTTATAGCCTGTCATTCCATCTATGTTGGGGTTGAAGCGAGGATCCTGTAACACAAGACAATTAGGAATCAGGTATTTTATTTTGATGAATAAAAAGTGTGGTTCCTACAACACAACACAACAATACTGTACTGTACAATATAAACACCAATTACCTGTTTTAATATACAGTAATGTACTAGACTTAGAATACATGTCCTGTTACACATTAAATACAACATGAGAGGTTATAACTGTTATTAGTAAATTATATTTTACAAATACAGGTATAGAATAATTTAGATTTTTTCATTTCAGTACAGTATTTTGTATATATTAAATCTGTCAAATATAAATATTGAAGGAGGTGTATTGCAAAATAAGCACCATGAACATTATAGTACACTAACCTTATCTTACCCCTCCCTCTCCTCAAGCCTTTATCCCTCCCTCTTTCATATCTTACCAACTTCTCCCCTCCCACCCTTTCATCACTCCTGTTGGTTTTCTTCTCTCTCCTTTTATCCTTCCCTCTTTTCCTCTTCCATCATTTGAATCAGCCCCTTTATCACCCCATCCCTCCCTCTCTCTCTCTGGTCTCTAATTTCTTTTCATCATCCCCCCCCTCTGACCTGCTCCCCTGTCATCTTCCTCACCAATCCTCTCTATTCACAGTAAAAGCCACGACTTTCCTTCTGTCCCCCCAATACAGTACAGTTAGTAGCTCCACTCTTCTAAATACGTAGCCAAGCAAGCTATACATGCCTGCCTACCTTTTATTTCCATTACTCTAGCTTTTCGGGGATTAGTGATCTGTTTTGAAGTCTGCTGAGTTTGAAAGCTCACTCTATGCAGTACTGCCTACAGAATATGCTAAATAAAGGAAAATTACAAGGATTCATCTGAATCTGTATCAGCCCATGCAATAATCTGAATAAATATTTTTCAACAGTTTTCTCCACAGAAAATTTAAACATGATAACCGAGGCACCGACTCTAGTATACAGAGATAGTGAAGAAAATAAATTAAGCGAGATAGTAGTGACTAGTAACGATGTAAGTAAGCAAATAGACAAACTAAAGCCTAATAAGTCACCAGGTCCCGATGAGATATTTGCCAGAGTACAGTATTATAGGAATGTAAGGAAGAGCTTAGTATGCCCTTAGCAAAGTTGTTGAACATGTCCTTAAAAACAGGTGTAGTACCAGAATCCTGGAGGATAGCGAATGTAATGCCGATTTTCAAGAAGGGAGATAGATCACTATCCTCAAACTACCGACCAATCAGTCTAACATCAATTGTAGGCAAATTACTGGAAGCAATCATTTCAAACTCTATTTGAAATCACCTGGAGAAGCACAAGTTGTTCAATGACTCCCAACATGGCTTCACAAGCGAGCATTCAATCTAACTAATCTATTAACATTCTTTTCATAATTTTTCGAATCGGTGGATGATGATGTGGTATATCTCGACTTTAGCAAAGCCTTCGACAGAGTCCCCCACGAAAGACTAATAAGAAAAGTGGAGGCTCATGGCATTAAAGGAGATATTCTAAAATGGATTAGGGCGTGGTTACAGGACAGGAAACAGCGAGTGAGCATTAACGGCACTAAATCCCATTGGAGTAACATCACTAGTGGAGTTCCCCCAAGGCTCAGTACTCGGACCATTATTATTTATTATATACATAAACGAAATAGATATCGGCGTAGACAGCAACATAAGTAAATTTGCTGATGACACTAAAATAGGGCGTGTAATTAAATCTGACGAGTACTCTGCAAAACTACAGGAAGAACTAAACAAAATTTTCGAATGGTCTGAAAAATGGCAGATGAAATTCAATGTGGACAAATGCAAAGTACTCAGTATAGGAGAAGTAAACAGGGAAACCAGATACCAGATGAACAACTATGTTATTGAGAAATCTGACTGCGAGAAAGATTTAGGAGTTATGATAAGCAGGACTCTTAAGCTAAGCTAAGTAAGCAATGTGTATTTGCTCGAAACAAGGCTAATAGAGTACTTGGGTTCGTACAAAGGAGTGTTAGTTACAAGACTAGCGAGGTCATCCTAAAACTATATCTTGCACCTGTGAGACCTCACTTGGATTAAACAGTTCTATTCTGGTCACCGTAATACAGAATGGATATGGAATCCTTGGAAAAAATTCAGAGGAGAATGACAAGACTAATCTCAGGCATTAGGAACTTTGAGTAGAGAGACAAGTTAAAGCATCTTAATTTGCACTCCCTCGAGAGACGTAGAGTGGGGGGCGATATGATAGAGGTGTATAAATGGAAGTCAGAGTTGAACAAAGGGGGCATTACCAAGGTACTCAAACTATCCAACCAGGAGCAAACTCGTGACAATGGTTTTAAATTAAGACAAATTTAGATTTAAGCGCGAAATAGGTAAACATTGGTTTGGAAATAGAGTAGTGGATAAGTGAAACAAGTTACCAAATATCATCATTAACTCGAATACGCTGGATAGCTTCAAACATAGGTTGGATGGATATATGAGAAATAGGGGTTGGGTGTAAATGGAACTGCCCAGTATGAGCCAATAGACCCACTGCAGTTTCTTCCATTCTTATGTTCTTATGAGAGGAAAAGGTGGCAGAGAGAGAGAAGGGAAGAGGGCGGGTAGGAGGAGGGAAGGTACCGTGAGAGAGGAGGTGAGGTGAATGACACATATTTAGGTAAGTCAGCCACTCACTCATTTTCTTAGCGTGTAATAGCCTCCCAAGTCATTCAATCAGCGGGGCATGTGGGAGAGATAGAGATAACGACAGTGAAATGAGAGAGAAAGAAGAAAATATGAGAAAAGAAGAAAGAGAAAGAAGAGAGTGAGAGAGAAAGATTTGAGAGAGAAAGAGGAAAGAGAAATATGAGAGAAAGATGAGAAAATAAAAGAGAAAGAAAGAAGAGAAATAAAAAGAGAAAGAAGAAAAGGAAAGAAACGCAAGAAAAAGGAAGAATTAGAATGGGTCACGTTACCTCATGTCAATAAAGAAGTAGACAGTAAACATGAAAGAGAGACGCCACAACGGAGAGTCTTAGAACTGTCTTGTCTGTCTCTCTCTCTGTCTTTTTAGTCCAACATAGTTCTCTCCTTCCTCTATCCTTCTCTCTTTCGCCATCCCTTTCTTCATCCTTTCTACGTCTGCATCAATTATCTCTTTTCTTCCACCTCCTTCCCCTTCCTTCCTTCTTTCATTCTTTCTCTACTGGCCACAACACCATTTCTGCCTTCCTTCTTATATAGTTCTTTCTTCTATTTTTATTCCTCTGACTGCTTCAACAATCTCTCTCTCTCTCTCTCTCTCTCTCTCTCTCATTCTGTTTACCATATCGTGAATCATATACTCTCTCTCTCTCTCTCTCTCTCTCTCTCTCTCTCTCTCTCTCTCTCCTTTCCGTTCGCACTCTCTCAGCTTTCTCTCTCGGCGTCATTCCTTTCCCATCCATCTACGGTATTTTCACTCCTGCCTCACCTAAGAAAAAGTAAATAAATAAAAAGTAAAAAAAAAAAAGAAGAGGGCGATTAAAAAATGACAACTAAGACAGTGTCAAAGTCATCCACGAGAATGAGTGACATGATCTTGAAATCCCCGGACAAAAAGTTACGTGATTTATTTGGAAATCAGGGGCTGACTGGCAACAGCATTATCCTTGAAATATCGAGTCCAATGATCGAACCTCAGCCTGTTGGTAAGTTCAAGAGCAAAACTCTTGGACTTGGTGACACGACTCAGGTACACGTAATTGGATGGTGGTCTGCCTAGGTGAAGGCGGTGTGAGTCATAGTAATTATTTATCTCTAAAACATAATATGCAAAAGGTCCCAGCCCCACTGATTCTATACTTTAAGGTGCATAAATGCATACACATCGAGTTACTGATTTACAAACCTCGACTCTGCTTGTTCCGTCTTAGTTCATGTGGAGCCATATACTGCTGGCCACTAACTCAAAGAGACAGGTATGAGCGAGGCGCCAAACATGCAGTGACAGCACCTGGTTACCCTCTACCTTATTAAATTTGCAGTACAGTCTAAGGCAGACATATTAATGGGTACGAGGAATAGGTCAAGACGCATTAGTTACAAGCTGGGTCCCAGGTGAGAAGTGTACATATGGAAGGAAGAATTAGTAAATAAATCATCTGCAGTAGTGGGCTATGGTCGCCAGCCCTCAGCGCTGAGGAAGGCTCCTTGACTGACTTAATGATACATCTGGAAGTGAATTAACTTTCTTTCCTTTTGCAGATGCAAGTTTTATTGGCGATACACCCATTTATGCCATAGAAAGTGTATGTGTCTGTTTGTCCACCCTGTAACTGTTCACCCTGTCGACAGCACCACCATCTTACTGAGTCCCGCTGGTTTGCTAAGCATGAGAAGGTTACTACTGAGGTTTTCAAAAGTATGTCTTTTCATATTAATCTTCTTCACTCTAATTACGTATGTCTGTTTCTCTTCCTCTTCTCCCTTCTTCCCTCTACCCCTCTTGCCTTCTCTCCCATCTTCCCTCTCGTCCTCCCAGGAGCTATATCCAGACATAAGCTCTCAAGTAATTTGTCCTAAACACACACACTCGCGCCTCCAAGTACATCAACACATCAGAACACACACGCGCTTATAGAGGTGTGTCAGGTGTTCTGTTCGCTGATGTGTTTATAAATCGAGCTTGTCTAAGTATACAGTTTACCGCGTAACATACCACCTGCACGAGCAAACACCAACCTCTGCTACACAGTTTGTAAGATTTGTATGCAACACCCCACCCGATACAACATCCAAAGTATAAACTGTGTAGAAACTTTGTCGAGTTATCAACGCTTCATTTCTAAAAGTACAAATTGTAGGATTTGCTTTACACCACACTGCCATAGAAAAATGAAGAGAACTATCAGTAGACACAGCAGTTCAATCGAGTGTTTTGTTGTAATTTCCTTTTTTTTCTTAAGACACCAAGCTTGAATCCACGCCCGTATTATTAAACAACATCTTCCCTTGAAGGGTCGTCGTGTTTCAACCCGAGTTTTAAATAAAATTA